TAATCTTCAACTTAATTCGTATAAATTTGGACCAAATAAATTGTTTAAAGGAATCATCATCAAAAACCATATTTCAGTGATGAATTTACAAATTTAAGTGGATTAAACATTACAAAATTAAGTTGTAACCCAAAAACTTAAGAATTGTGTTGATTCAACTCAAATTAAAAAAGTAGTTTCAACAAACATCAAAAGTAATTTTTGAGTGTACTTTTAATTCACAGTAACAGCACTAAACTTTTAAGTTTTTCCTCTTTTTAAATTATTTCAAAGCAAGAACTTAATGATTTCATGTCTAATAATCGAATCTACACTGAAAAAATGATGTCTGCAAAATTGTTGCAAACAATTTCTTATTGTTGAACTTAAACAAATTAAATACAGTAATGTTCAACTTAATGTGTTTGATTAAATTCAAGCCAAACAAATTGTTTACAACCAATTAACTTTTAAAAAGCAAATCCAAGGAATCATCCCTGAATATTTTTTTTTTTTCAGTTTAATAATGTACACTAAAAAAAAGTGTTTTTAAAGTGTTAACAAAAAGAAACCATTTTCCTCTGGTGAAAAGCTATCAATGATCTTTTTTTCCTTCTTTTTTCGGTGTGAACATTTTAATAATAAAGAACCATTTTCCACATGAAGAATTAAAAGTTCAAATCGTTAAAAGGCTCTTCATGGAACCATCAATGCCAATAAAAGCCTTATTTTATAAGAGTGTAATGAAACTAAACAATCAAGGATCACAGAACTGCCCCTCGAAAAGGTGAAATGTGAAAAAAAACGACATTATAATCTTCAATCACAACAACAAAGGCCTACATACATTGCCTATTTCCAATATTCACATGCATCTCATTTTTTCAGTCTGCTAGTTTGGCATTGTGTCTCATTCACTGGTCACAGCTCGCCCCTCTCCCTTTCTCTCCCTCCACATCTCAGTCTTCTCCATTGTGAGAGACAGCTGTTTGGCGGATTGGGGGTGTTGGGTGTCATTTTTATTGATGGAAAGCAAACATTTACTCTGTGTGTCATTTAAAAGCACCACCCTCCTCTGCCTGCCATTCAGCGCAGCCAATCACAGGCCTCAAGAAACACTCCTGCTCCAACAAAACACACTTTATGAGATGTGTATTCATATGCACAAAGGAGAGGCCATTTTCATAACTTACTCAAAATGTCTGTTCTGAAAACAACCATTAAACTATTATAAATCATTTAAAATATATATAGTGTATTCCTCACATCTCCAGCTGTGCCATCATGCCCATGTGGAGGAAATGTTTATCTAGTGCTAAGTGGCTTGGATGAAATGTTCTTAAAACAAGGCAATTAATTACATCCTATTCAGACCAACCCAATGTGCGAGAAATGACAGGAACTTACTGATTAAATCGTCCATGGTTCATTAGCATAGTGTTATCTGCAGACTTTCTAGAAGATGAAATGAAGTTCGAGGCTAATACATCTAAAATAAAGCTACTTTGATGCATGGTGGAGCCAAAATATCAAACGGTGACTGTGATTCCACCTCATTAAACATCTGAAAGACACATTTCCATCACTTTTGTCAATGTGTGAATAGCTTAGCCTAATAAAATAAATAAATAAACGTCAATAGGCTATCTATTAAAGCCTGCATATTATTTTTGTTGCGGTGTTGATTTTGGCGAGTAAATCAAATGGCGTTGTTGTGCTAGCGTTTGTTTTCCGTTTAATAACAGTTTAAATTATTGCTAACGATTTTAAAGTGCTATTTTGTATTGCGGCAAAATATTTCGTGATAAAAATGTGTTCAAATTAGCATGTAGTCTTACCTATATCCATTAACGTCAGTCTCTAGTCTGTGTGACTTCAACTCATCTGTCGACATGAAGCCAGAGCTGCTGCAGACATCCATACTGGTGTGATCAGGTGATTTTTAACAACTGTCTCCTCACAGGCGTTTTGTTTCTTATCTTTTTTTGTGAGTGGAACGTGCCCATCATACATTTAAAAAAATAAAGAGTGGTGTATATATATATATATATATATATATAGTGGATCAAAAATATACTTCAAAATTAACCTAAAATAAAATGGGTGTTGTTCAATCTTTTTAGAACGAGGAGATGAATCACTGCAAACTTTGACTACTACAAAAACTACTTACACTTACCTGCCACTTAATTAAGTACACCTGTTCAACTGCTTGTAAATGCAAATTTCTAATCAGCCAATCACATGGCAGCAACTAAATGCATCTAGGCATGGTCAAGACGATCTGCTGCAATTTAAACAGAGCATCCCCACATGGCAAAATTTCTCAGGCCCAGCTCTGGCCCTTACAACCAGGTTTTGCTTGGCCCACATGCCGCAGTGAATTACGGTACATGACTGGACCAAATCTGGCTTCCAGACAAGGGCCAAACACGGACCGTATCTGGGCCAAGTCTCAGCCAAGTTAATAACTCATAACTGGGCCTGAACTGGGCCAGATAGGTTGGTGTGTCACGATTGCAATGAAATTGATAAACCCATGAAGTGATGCGCTTTAGGCACACTATGGGCACGCTTTTTCTCAAAGTGACCTGATTGGTAGAATTTTTTTTCTTTACTCAAAAATGATTTTAGTGTATTTTAAATGTGGGTCAAAACTGGCCAAACTCACATGGCCCACTTTCAAATTTTTAAATCTGGGCCAAATACTACGTTTTTCATCTGGCCCAAATCTTGTGTGCCGCCTTAAAGGCGGTGCCACCTCTGCCAAACCCGGGCCATGTTTGGCCACATGCTGTATGCCAGTGCCGAATGAATGCCTGCTGTGCCAGCTTTATGCCAAATCTGGGCCAGAATTCTTTGCTACTAGGGTCAGTATGGGGAAGAAAGGGGATTTAAGTGACCTTGAACGTGCCTTGGTTGTTGGTGCCACTCATTACAACCGAAATGTGCAGAAGAGCATCTCTGAACCCACAACACATGGACACTTGAGGCAGATGGGCTACAGCAGCAGAAGACCACACTGGGTGCCACTCCTGTCTGCAAAAAACAGGAGCCTTAAGCTACAATTCACATAGGCTCACCAAAATTAGACAATAGAAGATTAGAAAAAAATACATTGCTTGGTCTAATGATTCTAATGAGGATTTTTTTCTTGCCAAACTTTGGGCCCATTAGTACCAATTGAGCATTGTGTTAACGCCACAGCCTACCTGAGTATTGATGCTAACCATGTCCATCCCTTTATGATCACAGTGTTCCCATCTTCTGATGGCTACTTCCAGCAGGATAACGCGCCATGTCATAAAGCATGAATCATCTCAGACTGGTTTCTTGAACATGACAATGAGTTCACTGTACTCAAATGTCATTTGAGCCTCCTCAGTCACCAGATCTCAATCCAATCGAGCACCTTTGGGATGTGGTGGAACGGGATATTTGCATCATGGATGTGCAGCTGAAAAATCTGCAGCAACTGTGTGATGTCAATATGGAGCAAAATCTCTGAGGAATATTTCCAGTATCTTGTAGAATCATGAAAAATTAGGCAGTTGTGAAGGCAAAAAGGGGTCCAACTAGTACTAGTAAGGTGTAAAAAATTTTAAATAAATAAAGAAATACACACACATTAAAGCTAAGTACAAATGATGAAAGAGTAAAACGCACAAGTCTGTTTCTGTTAGATCTTTTTTATTTCATGGAAATACAACATAATTATAATTCCTGTTCAGAACCATGTGTTGTACATTGTATTATTTTCTCCATTTTTTGTATTTCAAAACATGATCACTTGTACAACAATATGAACAAAATCTCATGTCACAAATAGATTCATGATGACAATAAATTACACCTGTCATGCTTTGAGTTTTTTAAAACAGCGCTTCTTCGATGTCAAAACATTTTGCTAACCATCATCGTTCACATTATTAACCCTTCCGAGAAAAACAAAAAAACAAAATCAACTTTTATGCATAAATAGATTACTGGAAAATCTCCATTTAATTCAACAGTTATTTAAAAACATTAAAATCAATCTGAAAAGAAAAGAAAACAATAGAATATGATGAGCATTCATGAGGTTACATTTACAATAGCCACATAAATTACAAAAACCGAAGAAAACGCTCGCCAATCTAACACTGCTGAAGCGAGGGGCCTGTGAAGGTAAATACTGAAATATTTCTGCAATAGTAATCTCGCTATCGAAACATATCCAATGTGTCCTTTTTGTCTGTCATTGGTCAGGTAATGCAGTGTTCATGCTGCAGTGTGTAACAAGAAGAGCTGAAGAAAGAGAGTCGTCACAGCACAAATCCAGTTATTAGTACTTTAGAACAGTGAACTGCTTCACACATGGTTATTGTATATAAAATAGCCCAAATCAACAGTCAAAAGACTGACAGAAAAGATAAGTGAGGTTACTTTTCAATAATTGAGGCAAATACTGATACCAGTATTAAGTACCAACAAAATCAGAACAAGTACTACACGCAATTCTCAACAGCATCAAACCGCAACATTTACAATGATGGATGTTACGAATGCCAAGATCTGTAAACTGCTGTAATGCGAATTAAAGAGAACGCAATTCTGTAAACAGTTCTGGGCATTAAAAAAATCAAAAGGGGAAACATTATTCTGAACTTTTGTGTTCACAAACTCAATGTTTTCTTGCTTCTTTTCTTTTTTTTGGTCTGTATATTACAGTACAAACAATATTAGAATATATGGGATTTGTGAGGTACATGCAAATACTATTTATAATAAATTAAATCATATCTGTATGGGCATGAAGTAAAAAACAAAACTGACATCAATCATGATTTCTCTTAATAGTTATTTATAATCAAACTCATTTATATTTACTCCTCTCTTTTTTTTTGTACTAGAACTTAACATTTGTTAAAACTTCCTCTGGTGACCTGGAAAGGTTTCCGGCAGTCCTACATCTCTCATAGACCGAGTGTTAATATTCATAAGGGTTAAGACAACATCTGGGACATCTACTGTGTTTTTTTAACCATGTGGCGAGACTGGAGGTTCGTCTCTTATTTAAATAAAGCTGAGGCAATCTTGAAAGGCCCAGAACACTACGTTTGAGACCAATGTCACACCAGAGGAAGAATAGGACAGCTGGAAGTCAAAGTTTGTTTAACATGTGGTGGCCAGAGACTGATGTATAGGAGGCTGGAAACAGCGAACGTGCTCCACTGTTGAACTGTCCGTCTCCACCGCCTTCATGTACTTGTTGAGGATGGCAAAGATCTCATTGTTGAGAATCTGATACTTCCGGATGCGGTCTGCCATCTTTTTCAGGGGCTGAAAGTTACATGACGGATAACATTAAATGCAGACAACCATAAATCTACAAGATTACACATTTACACTTCCGTTTGAAAATTCTGGGTCTCTTTAATTGTTGAAGTCCTTTAAGTCTGCTTACCAAACCTGCATTTGTTCAATTAAAAATGGAGGAAAAGCTGTGATGTTTTGAAATCTTATTACAATTTAAAATAATGTTTATTTGTATTTTAAAATGTCATTTTATACCAGTGATGAAAAAAGTACATTTTCTGATTCATTACATGATTCTTCAGAAAGGTTTGTAACATGCTGATTGGCTGCTCAACTATTAAATCTTACAGACCCGTGTATGTATAGAGAATCTGAAGTGGCAACAATATCATTTATACAGTAATATTATCTATAGGGATGCACTGAATATTCAGCCACCCAAAATTAGTCTGAAAGACTTTTATCAACCAAAACAACACGGCTGAAACACTATGATATGATGACGTAAACAGAAACTGCTCGTCTTGTAATTGATTTATTCTTTGAAACTTTACTATTCTTTAATGTATAAACTTGAATCATTTATTGTATGCAACTGCAATGCCTTGATTTTAGTAAGGTTAGTATACAGTCATAAACAGTGTAACAAATTACAAATACTCTAATTACTGTAATTGAGGAGTTTTTCTCAGAAATTGTAATTTACGAAGTAGTTTTAAAAATGTGTACTTTTACTTTTCCTTGAAGACATTTTTAGTGCTCTATCAGTATTTTTACTCCACTACTTTATAATTTCCCATCTATGGGGATTAGAAAAACCAGTCTTGTGATTCCTGTCCAATCAAATCGCACATAGAAAGTAAATTGCATCATACTGAAAACAACAAACTGTTTGGAAGCATTAAAAGTATCCAAGAGGATACTTTACACGCAATGACCCAGAGACCGAGAAGATGGCAGATGTTTACTGTATGATGACCAAAATGGCTTAAACAATAACTAAATGCACTACAGAATGTTTCGTTTACACACACACACACACACACACAAATTACCAAATTACATGTAAACATATCAACCTTAGCTTAACTACTCTTGAGTAATTTTAAAATGTCTACTTTTTACTCATACTTTGAGTAATATTTACAACAGATACTTTTACTCTACTTGAACCACATTTTTTGGGCAAGTAATGGTACTTTTACTTGACTATGATTTTTCAGTCCTCTTTCCACTGCTGGTCATAAATCCAAGGGTATTAATAATTGGCGTATTTTCTTTCTGTGTTTCTTCCTTGATTTCCTCTTTTTCAGTTTTCGGCTTCGACCAAGAATTTTCATTTTGGTGCATCCCTAATTATTAATGATGTAAGATGTATATTTTGTTTTATTTTATTTTATTATAACTGAAACCGAAAGTTTAGGGAAGCAAAATAAAAGATTTTTGTTGAAACCTGGTTGAAAACAATGAGTAATATTAATGATTTTGATAAATAAGATTAAAAGGGACTGTTCACAAAATAAAAATAAATTCTGTCAATTTACTTACCCTTGACTTGTTCCAAACCAGTTTGAGATTTTTTTGTTTGTTTGTTCTGAAGATAGAACAAGATATGCTAAAGAAACCTGGAAACCTGTAACCGTTGACTTATATAGTTTGTTTTTTCTACTATTTATGTCAATAGCTACAGGTTTCCAGCATTCTTTAAAATATCTTCTTTTGTGTTCAACAGAGCACAAAAACTCAAACTTGCTTGAAACAAGTAAAAGGTGATTAAATGAACTTGAATTCTTTAGGACAATTAGCCTTAGGATGCAAAATAGTAAAGGATGTTATGCTCGGTAATCTTGCAAACATTTCTGCTGCTTTATATTTAAACAACAAAAAAGCATGCAGTTTTAGATTTTTCTTCATAAGAAAACATGAACAGTATCTATTCTAAACTGAAATATTTTATTTTTACTATGACTTTTGACAGATTTAATGCATTCTTGCTAAATAAAAGTATAAAATACTTAAAAAAAAATCTTACTCCAGACAAAGTTATGCCAATGTTAGTGTATATAGCGTCACTTGCGGGATTCACATCATCCTCAATAATACACTAATTGAACTGTAAATCACAACACATTGTGACTTACAGACTTAATCCAAAAATAAAAAATAAATATCAGACACCTACCACATTCTTAATGATTTCGTCTTTGCCGTCCTGCCTCTGGACTTTGAGCAAATGGTAGCAGAAATCAAAGAGGTCAAAGCGGCGTTGTTGTCCTAACAGCACAATAATGGCACATCCAGCCCAGTTCAGCCCATCACCGAAACACTGCCTGTACACACACACACACAAATATTTCAATCCGCAATCAAGCCCTTACTATTTAAAGTACATAAATCACCAACCATTCACAAAAGGATTTCTGCAGAATTCACCAAGTCAAAATGCAAAATTAAGACCATTTTGAATTCAATTTAAAGGTATAGTTCACCCACAAACAAAAATTCTGGTATCGATTTACATGATTTCTCAACCTGTTTAAGTTTCTTTCTTCTGAAGAAAACAAAAGAACATATTTTAAAGAATGTTAGAAACTGGTAGCCATAAACATCCATAATATGGAAGTCAACGGAAAATGGAAACTCATAAAAGTTTGAACCACTTGAGGGGGAATAAATGATGAGGACATTTTCATTTCTGAATGAACTTTCTCTTCAAGATCTACACATCACAATGTCAACACATCAAACTAAAAAAGTAATTAATTAGTTACTTCTCATAAATAGTAACAGAGTAATCAAATTACATCATCATAAATAACTAAATACCAGGGAAAGTAAATATTGTGTTCATTATGAGATGAATAATAAATTTTATAAATTATTATTACAAAACAATGTTCACTAATCTATAATGTACATCATAGGTGTCAAACTCAGTTCCTGGAGGGCTGCAGCTCTGCACAGTTTAGTTTCAACCCTAATTAAAATACACCTGATCAAATGAATTGTGTCCTTCAGGCTTGTTTGAAACCTTTAGGTACATGTGTTAAAGCAGGGTTGGAGCTAAACTGTGTAGGGCAGCGGCCATCCAGGAACTGAATTTGAAACCCCTGTATACATAATTGCTGCTGTGGGACAATGTGAAAGGCACCTAGTAAATGCAATATTTTAATGTAAATATCACTTCTAAAGTAGAACAATAGATCAGAGAGCCTACTCAGCTGAAAACGGCTTCAGTGAGCTCAATTACAACAAATTATACAGTAGGTTATATCAAAAATTTAATGCTGCATTTTATTGTAAGTAATAGAGGAAACAGCCATTATTGATAATAGTAACTCCGTTACTTACGTCATTTATTTATACAGGGTTTCTTTTTAAAGACATTTTAAGACCATTATGAATTAAATTTTAGACTAATTAAGGGCTCAAGGCTAAGAAGTTTTTTTAAATGACCCAGGTGGAAAAGATTTTTATTTCCCCTATCAAAAAAATTCTTATAATTTATTATATGTAATAATACAATAATACATTAATATCAAAGCAATAAAATATTTTATCAAAATATTTTAAATATTGCGTAAAATCAAGCAAGCTCTACCTGTATCCATTTACATTTTTAACAACATAAACCTTCTTTAAAATAAAATAAACAAATGTTTCAAAAGTTTAAAAAACTATAATAAACTAAATCTATGCAAAACAATCTGTCCAGGTTGGTATCCTCACCAGTAAATACATGGAGAACCTTTAAACCAATGTTTTTGTAAGCAAAATAATCAAACCATTATGATAAATAGAGTAAAAATTACCTTTTTAAGTGAAAGCTTAAAAGTTTTATTGAGATGATTGTTGGTGATTGAATGGGCTTTGGCCAGATTGGGTAGCAATACACGAACAAAGGAAAATTACGACCTGTTTAAAAAAGATTTAAGACCCACAACACAATATTTCAGTAAATTTAAGACTTTTTAAGGACTGAAATTTAGATTTTGACATTTAAGATATTTTAAGACCCTGCAGAAACCCTGTTATAACGCTGTTATTCCAATCGATGATTTAGGCTAGTAAAAAAACTGTAAAGAGTCATTAAAGAAATTCACTGAACATTAGAAGGTCATTTCTTGTTAAATCGCTAAATTCCTCTTCAATTATAAGTCGCTTTGGACAAAATCTTCTGCTAATTGACTAAATGATAATGGAAATTAACATAGAAATATTTAGACCTGGAAGATAGACCTGATTTTCTGTATTTTTAAGACCCCTCTAAAAAATCCTGAATAAAAGCCAAACTGAATGCATGTGTGTGTGAAGACCTACTCTGCAGTGAACTCGTGTGTGCCCACAGGAATGCAGTAAACAAACTGCATGGCGCTCCAGAGGCGGTGGAACTCCATGCACTCATCCACATGCATGACGCCGTTGGTGGGAGGAGGACCTCGCCACACGTTGTCCTGCAGGAAGCTGCGGATGCGCGTCAGGATCACTTCAAACATGGACAGGCCACAGCACAGCCGTTCCTTCGTCAGCAGGTCTCCCTCACGTGCAATTGCAATTTGCTAAGACGGGTTAGTGAAAGCAAGGTGCATGTTAAAATGGAGTCCACATCAACCTACTCGTGTTCTTATAAATTGACTTAACATTTAGCAAAAACATGACTTTTCAAGCATGACATTGAATAATAGATGGTTTTATTTTTAAATTTACATTTGATGTCACAATTTTTAGCCCTCCTGTGAATTTTTTTCTTTTTAAAATATTTCCCAAACAATGATTAGAGGTGCAAGGAATTTTTCACAGTATTTCCGATACATTTTTTTTCTTCTGGAGAAAGTTGGTTTTATTTCGGCTAGAATATAAAATAAAAAATATTTTAAGGTCAATATTATTAGCCCTCATAAACATTTTTTTAGATTTTCTACAGAACAAACTAGTATGTTTAGAAATGCGTTAAAAATAAATCTCTCCGTGAAACAGAAATTGAGGAAAAAAAGTACAGGGGGGCTAATAATTCTGCCTTCAACTGTATATTCAAAGAATCCTTAAGTCTCTGTTTTCACAAGGGATGCACAATAATTATTAGTGGCCATTCTGATATCAGCTGATAAATTCTATTTTGAATATTATTGTTCTCTATGAGATCTATTATTGATCGCATAACAAAAGCAATATCAATACAAGGTCAATATCTTTCAGCTGTAAAATTGTGTATTATTTCTAATGGTTGAACCTCTTAATATTTATGCTGCTTGCCTTTTGAGTTTTTAATCACTTACTCTGTGACTTAGCCAAAAGTAGATGCGCACCTTACAAGCTATTGCTGCTTGACTAGAGAGATAAGATGTCAGCACAGCAGTGTGGGAGTTTACATCATTAAATAATAATAATAATAATAATAATTATTATTATTATTATTATTATTTACAGGTGAAGTAGCCAGACAATCCTGTGATATTTCTAGATGGCCTTCCTGTTAAAATTTCATGCAAAGTCATGCTGTATCAGAAAAAAAGTATTTATCTATTGCACAATTTTATTCTTTTATTTTGGTTAATGTTCAGTGACCCTGTTGCTGTATCCATTATTTTTGTCAGGCACTAGATTGTATATATTTGAAATTAATACTCATTTGAAAAATGTTAATGTGCTTTTTTTAATTTATTAGTCTATATATCAGCCTCCAAATAAAAGAGTTATTAGTTATTGGCATCAGTCAAAAATTCTTATTGGTGAATCCTTAGTTTCTGAAAAAATATTAAATATTTTCAATTATATTATTAGACATTTTGAATATTGATAACAATAAGTAATGCTTCATATAAACAAGGCTTCAAATCAACATATTAGAATGATTTCTGAAGGATCATGTGACACGCAAGACTGGGGTAATTGCAGAAAATGTTGTTTTTAAATCCGAGCAATATGTTACATATCATGTTAATCATATTAAATCATATTAATAACATATTAATCATTTTAATTTGTTATATCATACAGCAAAAACAAGAAATACCAGTTTCTCTGATTTACTGGATGTATTAGGTAAGGATTTGAGTAAAAAGGTAATATTAGTCTGATACCATTTCTTTTCTTTATTACTATATCTATTGTGCAAATGGTGTCAAACCACTTTACATAAATGAAAAGAAAATAATTGTCTTTTTCATTTTAGAAAATACCAATCAGTCAGTTTGAAACACGGTTTCAGATTAAATGACCAGATTAACAATATACAACATCTGTTTTTGCCAGATGTGATAAGCATGTATGCTCTGATCTGCATTCCTCACCTGTGGAGTCCCGAGTCTCTCAATGAGGGGCACGAGATGAAGAGGAGCATACTTTGCCTCCAGCCTCTTCATCCTCACCTCCAGTCGCTCTCCCTCTGCAGAGTTCAACATTACAGGAACATTTTCAGCAGGTGCAAAGTCTCTATTTAACCTCAAGACAACATTAGAGAACTAGTGGCAACAAAAAAAGACTTTGGGCTCCGCTAGTACTGATTTTCCTGAAACATGGCCCTTAATCAGAAAGCCCCAAGAAAGAAGATGCTATTGTAGCTTTTGAGTGTTTTAGCAGTTTTTCACCTTTGATATAGACTCTGGGGAGGATGTTCTGGAATGGTGCTGCATGAAGCAAGTCACAAACTTCTTCCTGAGACTAAATTCAAAGAAATAGCACAGAATACAATGAGGAACAAGTCAGAATTGATTATAATTCCCATCACATTGTTAAATGAAATCTGCATCAGGCTTTACATAACACATACATCAGAGTGAAAATGGGTTAGTTGTAGTATGAATGAAAATGTGAAAATGCAACATTCTGATCCTAAATAAAATCATCTATATTTAACATTTATGTTGACTACAAACAGAGATTTTTATTCTAGGTTTAATTATTTTATGGCAGCTGAAAAACAATGCTGTACACAATGCTGTATTAGTCCCATTATAATAGTTTCATATAATATAGACTATTTCTAGTTCCCCTCATTCTACTACAAATCCTTTAAATTTAACAGTAGACACAACAGAAACATACAACTACAGAAATTATGAAGATATCCGTTATAAACTTCTATATAATCTCTACATAACGTCTTTCAACTGAAACCATTACAAAAGAGTAGACTTTGCATGTTTACCTCACATAGCATTAATTAACTCTGTTGTAACATTCTCAGCTCATGGTCTAAAGCTTTTCTATCTTAGGAACAGAAAAAAATATGCGGTGCATGGCCTAAAAGGGTTGTCCTTATTTTATTAAGGAGTTTTGGATGTGTTTTTGGCATAACTTTAATTAGACCAATCAGGGTTTTTCCCATTCCATTTAAGACAGAGGTGTCCAAACTCAGTCTTGGAGGGCCGGTGTCCTGTTCTAAATTTAGCTCTGACCTGCTTCAACACACCTGCCAGGAAGTTTCTAGTATATCTACAAAGAGCTTGATTAGATGTTTCAGGAGTGTCTGATTAGGGTTGGAGCTAAACTCACAAGGACACCGGCCCTCCAGGACAGACTTTAAAAAAGGAAAACTTTGATTGTCAGGAAACAGATCTACAATTAGCCAGTATTTTTTGGCATTACCCCAAATAGGTAGGTGGGCTAGTTTTGATATATGGAATGACTATCCATTATGACATTTATGTAGACAATAATCATCTATTAGATTTAAATATTTTCATTTTTCATTTTTAAAGATGTTAGTGTGCAGCTGCACAGCCCTGTGAGTGTAATAAGCAATGTGTAAGTGCATTGTAGACCCACCTATGGTAACATATCACTAATATGCTCTTTAAATGACAATAAATAAAATAATTAACTTATAAAACTGGGCAATCGACTTCAGATTTTAGATGGTCAATACGTGGTCTATTTCAGCTGCCTCAATACAGCAACGCGGAAACTATGCACTTTAACACACCTTTTTAGATGGGCACACAAATCGGAGAAAATGGATTTGTTAAATTCAACAAGGTGGTGTACGATGTGAAAATGATACCTGCGCCAGGCAGAAACTAGCAAAAAAAACTTCATCACGCCTATAGCCTGTCATTGCACCTGGTGTATGATATAGCACCTTGCATTTTAAGCAGAGCATTCCATACTATTAAAATAAGGACACAAAATATGGTAAATTTTAAACAAGAATTGTTTATGTGAATACCAAATTCACCAACTTGTAGATTACCGCACGTAGTTTTATTCACTAAAATAGATAAGTGGACCAAGAAAATATATATATACATTATATACAATAAAACAAGAAAAATAAAAGGTCCCATGGCAGTGACCTTCAAATCAATAAAGTACATTTTAACCAAAAATGAATTCACAATAATAAAACAAGCACTGAACAACAACAACCAAACAAGAATAGAGACGACCAGAAGAGCACCCTGACAGAAACGATGTTCATGAGAGATCAGCGTGCAATGATCATCCAACACATTCACTATGCTTCAGAAAGAGAAAGAGAGACCCATACAGAAACACAAGAGAAACAGGCATCAGAAGAGAAGAAGTGTATGGAAGCAGATGTGCACCAGCACGGGACGTCACAGGCAGCCAGAGAAGAGTCGTGACTGCCATGAAAGCAAGGATGACTTCCTTTTGGAAGAAATGATCCAACAAAAAGCCTTTTAATGTCAACCCAGTCGACATGTCCAAACATCCCGACATTCACAGCTCCATTTTACATAACAGTTTTGTTTTTTTAATTCTTCCTTGAATCCATGGCAGAACACGGCACAAAAGTGACTAAAATAATAGAGAAACCAAGAAGAGAGTGCGTTCAGTCAGTTCGTGTTTCAGTTTACATGAATGAGGCCTAATTCCTTACCACCTGTAGTTATTGCCAGCGTGTAATGAGAAATAAAGTTGCTTTTTAGGGGCAGATGGCAGCAGTGTCATCCACCCACACACACACACACACACACACACACACACACACACACTCACAGCAATTCATTAATATTCATATGTGGACAATCACACATACACATACATTTCTACAAATTCAGATCTGCTGCTTTATGCAACTTATTAGCAAAGCCAGGCTGAGTCAAGGATTGCGGCTTCAATTTTGGTGCATCAATAGAATGCTTTCATGATGAACATCGTAAAGTATTTCCTTAAAGTAAATCTTAACTATTCAGAAGAAAACAAAGCCTTAAAGAAAGAGCAGACCTGCCAACCTTGCCAAAATGTTTTTGATTAATGCTTGTGATTCATAAACTCTGAAAGCCACTAAATGCCCTATTAAGAAATTAAGAGACATAAAAATAAATATATGAATAACAGGAATGACCTCCTATGAAGAGGAAGTCTGGGAAAAAACTCTAGACACAAACCTTACTTATATATATATATATATTTGCAACTCAGCATTCTATAGAACGCCTAGGCAATGTATAAAATAGCAATCATTTTAGGCATTCTATACAGTTCCTAGGCACTTTATAGAAAGCCAGATTTCACACATTGACGATAACATAATATATGTTAAACAATAATTATAAATAAAAGCAACAATAAAATAACAATAATCTTTTTTTACAGACATTAAAAAAATATTAATACTATTTAAATATAAATATATTTAAATAAAAATAAAAATATATGATTGGAATAACAACATACAATAATTATTCTATATGTAATAATAATAATACTTTTTGCTTGACTCGAGTAATGCACATCAACAATTAAACACAAGGCATTACCAGTCACAAATTTTGCACGGAGGTTGGCAGGTCAGAAAGACTAATGCTAAAAATACACAACAGCTTGAGATGATGTGATTTTAGCTCTATCGATTAAAAGCTCTACGCTACTATATTATGTCATGCTCAGACAAATGCAAAATGAAAGGTCTCACCAGAGCTTGTTCGATGAGCAGACAGAAGAGAACAGCATTGCCCACCTCCCTCAGACTCTGAAACACATCGGTCTTGAGCTCAGCGTACTCAATGATGTCCTTCAGCTGATGGTGGAAGAACTCCAGGATGCCTGACAAACATTACATAACATCAAAAACACTCCAGGCTCAGATCTGAAGCGCCAGTTATAGACTTCTAACTTTAACATGTTGTACAGTAAATAATACAATCTGATGCTGGAGGAGGTGGAGAAACTCAGAAGCATCAGTTAATTGCAAATACTAAATCTAGACTATTAAAATGTTGATCTTCTTGTGTATTGGCTGGAGAATCAGCAGAAGATAGTCAGCTTGTGTCATGCTGTAAATGTGACGATTAGAGTGTTAGTAGTGCAGACCTGGTGAGCCGTACTCATGACGAGGGAGACGGCAGATCTTGGGCATCACCTCTATGAGGGTCTTCACATACTGAAGGATGGTGCCTTGCAACTGAAAAGAAAAAAAACAAAACACCAAAACTGATGGACTTGACAAGTGAAAAGGAGAAATGTTCTCTAAACTGTAAACAAACAAACAACACTTTGTAGTTCAAAACCAGTTTTTGCCCTACCATTGTATTAAGGCTCACTGCCTTAATTCAAGCAGATTAAAAATTAATAATATTTAGAAAAAAAGCCTGAGCTAGGCGAAGGTAAATAAATCCTGCTTTCAGCCATGGTACTGTGCTTCGCGTCCAGTGTGTGGCCTGCATTATGTGACATTATCGCAATGTGTATTCAGCTTGTTTTTAACAAGGCTATGCACATCGTATCAATCGCAAAACTTCTAACAGATGCCACAGACGGACATCTGTCTTCAAAAGCATGCTCTATCTATCTCTCTCACACACACACACACATGCATGTACATGCTCCAAATGGCATCTTTCCATCAACGTGTTCAAATAGCAATATAAAATGCCTCAGTATTTGTTTTCAAACATTGTTTCATTTTGATTAGGATCAAACATGACAGAAAAAGAGTGCTCTGATGTATTAAGTAGTCTAAAATAAAAATAAAAAACAGACCAGTGCTAATACAGACTAGAATGCATTTAATATCATGTATTGCAATAAATCTCAAAAAATCTGACTTTAGAGACAGGTATATCACAGATATTGCTGCAAATTCTGAGAAAAGATGGCCTCGAAAAGTCTATCATCAGGCACAGACAGCATTTTCAATTTTTTTTCAAATGACTGTAGCAGAGGTGTCAAACTGTGTGTCCTGCATAGTTTAGCTTTAACCCTAGTTAATCACAGGTAATTGGTTTGAAGCAGGGTTGGAACTAAACTCTGCCGGGCTGCGGCCCTTCTCGAATTGAGTTTGACACCACAAATGTTAAATGTCGCCTAAAATTAGAGTTTACTGCTCATGACAAATTTCGATCTGTTTAATAATAATAATTCCTTATATTTATAAAGCTCGTTTCTGGACACTCAAAGCGTTACACATTGTGGGGAATCTCCTCATCCACCACCCGTGTGCAGCATTCACCTGGATGATGCGACGGCAGCTATATTGCTCCAGACCGCACACCATATACCAGCTGATCAGTGGAGAGGAGACAGAGTGATAAAGCCAATTACAATATGGGGATGGTTAAGAGGTCCTGATGGACAGAGGCCAGTTAACCCCAAAAGACAGTGCTCTGTATAGAGTACCCTTTACTACACTTAGGGCATTAGGACTTACACAGACTGCAGGTTAAGCGCCCCCTGCTGGCCCCTCTAACACCATTTCCGGCAGTAACCTAGTTTTCACATGTGGTCTTCCATCCAGGTACTGACCAAGCGTAGTCCTGCTTAGCTTCAGTGAGCAACCATGTAAGATTTGCAGAGAGCTAGCTGCTGGCCAGTGTTTAGAAACACTGCCTTGTAAAAAACCAAACCTAACCATAAATTGAACGTTTTCACATTTTTAGGCCCAACCCCAACTCAGCCCTTTCCCCTACCCCTCATTTTATGTGTTCTCATGAAAGGGTGGGACTGTCGCAATTCTCTTTAGCTTGAAGGAATAGTCATAAAGGGAAAGGCTAGAAGGCCCTTGAAACAGAGATTTTCCAGGACCACACTAGAAAACGAAGGGGCATGAAAATTTCCCAGAATACACCAGCTACAATGGCAACATGGCTGCACAGGAAAGTCAGAAGATGCACAAATGCAAGTATGTTTTGGTATTTTTAAGAATTTTTACAACAAACAAGCATATGTTTTATTACATTCAAAACGGCGTTCATGTTATTCCGTACAGCTTTTTAAAAAACCTCCGCTAAATTTCACTATCTCTGATCCATAATAATAACTCCTGCATAGCAGTCCCACAACATGCTTTCACCCCTGTTACTCGATGACAATTAAATACCCTGTCAGTAATGTCTAGTGGCTGGGAATGAGCTTTTTACAGTGTCTAGTATAACTTTAATGTTGTTTTAGTATGTTTACATCGATGAATATGGCCACGGTGTAAATACACAATACAGTTACAAGCTATTGGCACATTATATGCTTACGATAACATGATATCGTTGCCTTCGGTGATTTCCTGAAGATAAATACAATAGGTGTAAATATAATTATGAAGCTCTTCCCCTTCACACTCAATTTAAAGGGCCAAGGGGAAGGGGTAGCGGTAAAAAAATGAAATAAATTTAAATTGGGATTTGGATAAATTTAGTTTGGACCTTAAACTCCATTTTGGGATTTGCAAATGATCCACAGATTTGAAAACACCCTTAGAGAAAGAGAAATTTGATGTAGACTTCAAGCAAAGACAACAACAACAATAAAAAAAAAACCCTACCAAGCTCTTGACAATCTTGAGCAGCTCCTCCATCACCACAGCGATGCCTTGGTAACCGAGAAGCCGGCAAATTGTTTTGAAGTGCGGAGGTCCCACAAAGTTCCTGTAGGAACTGTAGATGTGGGAGTAGGCAATGTTCAGAGGCTGAAAAACAGAGAGAGATGTTTCAAAATAGACATCGCTGTCCTCAATACGGTGTAAGTAACACATTCAAGTCTTTCATTTAATATCATGCTGCTAACAGACCTTTGAGCCATACAAGTAATATGGCTGAACATTGGCAGGCTTGTCCCTCTGAGGCTCTTGGGTGAAGGGAATGGCTGTTCGCACAAACCTGTTGATTGAGATGCAACACATCTGTCAACACCGTCATCAATAACAAACAACGCATGGATCTGCAACTTGCGTTCACGGACCTGTTGGTGGAGCCATTGTAACAGTAGTTTGGTAAGAAGTCAAAGTTGAGTTCCCAGAAGACGTGCAGCGTAATGCGTCCATATGGAGCAGAGACGTTGTGGTTGGCTTCACGAAACATGGCGTCAAAACTGTCCAGCGTCATATGCTTAGAGAGCAGACGGTGAGTCAACCTGTTAATTTCCAATAGCCATTCAAGTTCCTGAAACATAACCACAACATCATTACTGTTTAGTGAATTCTTCACTGATGCATTCTAAAGAGGATGGTTTGGAACTTTTTTCGCCTGTCATCTCCATTGTTTTATTTAGTTTTAAGTAAACAAAATGGTCACATTGTAAATATTTCCAGATGAATGTCTACTATATGAAGCCCCTTAAGTTTACTTGATTATCCTCACATTTTAACATGATTTTGAGGATTTCCTTCCTCAGGAATGTTTATTTTTTTCATCTCTTAATCATCAATGAATTCTTTTCCATCGCCTGTTTTGCCATCCACACCCAGCAGACACAGGACTTCAACATTATGTCAGATTGACGTTGTTGTGGGACGTTGCATTTTGTTTGGAAATAAAAATCAGTTTAACATTAAAACCCAACGTCACTGTTCAATGTTAGACAGACGTTACATTTTGGTTAGTTTCTAATGTAAGATAAAAACAACAAAATAGCAACGTCTAATTGTTACAGCTTGACATTGTGTGGACGTTACTACTATGACATCTGTCAGACGTTGGATTTTGGTTAACCAATGAATATCAGTATCTGACGTCAATATAACGTTGGTTAAAGATGTTGGCTCAACATTGGATTTTGTTCACTTTCCAACACAACCTAAGATAAATAAATATTAACATCATTTTACGACGTTATTGGACGTCCAAGTAACATTGTCTTTAGATGCTGGCAACCTAAATCTAACCTAACATTAATGTTTTATGATGTTGTGTGTCTGCTGGGCAAGAAAGATTAAAGTTTTGATTATAAAATCAAGCATTTAAATATTCTTTGGGAGATAACTAATATTTATATGCATTTCATGCATTTATGTATGCTATATTGTTTAAAGGATCTCACTTTTTTACATAAGCTATTAGAATCTCTTTATTTTTTGGTCATATAAATATTAGCAACTTCTTATATTTGCTCAGTTTGGGCATCCATAATAAAATGTAGCTGTTTTTGTTCTGAGAGTAAACTATACTTTTTTATATCTTACAATGCAAAGCGTAATAAACAAACATTCTCAAAGACGATACTTAACACATATGCTAAGTTTTCAGATATGTCCAAAAGCTCAATACACTGTTTAGTTAAAATAAAATATTTCTTTGACACTATTATTTCATGTCAAAGTGTTCTAATGTTTAAATAGATTAAAAATGGTTGAGTTTGCGACTTTATGATAAACTCCAAAAGCAGAACTGATGAGTTTCTCACCACTATGGAGGTAAGGTCCTCGCTCTCAAAACGGCTGATGGCTTGATCCAGAGATTTGTACATGGCTGCTGAGATCCTCTGGGTTATCAATCTGTTCAGGTCAATGGAGCGACCCAGCAGCTATAGGTGATAAACACAAATATGATTTAAACATTAATCTTCTCAAAAATTTCAGTGAGAATAAAGTTGCCTTACATTAAAAACTCATAAATGGAACCATACTTAAAAGGCCACAACAACAGAGAGACTGAAATGCAATCATTATGAACTCTTATTTCACCAACATTTTGAGTTGGCCATTCAAATGTTAGCTCAAACCTGCACATGTCTCTGTTTCAGCAGCGTCTCGTAGCGGTTTGATGGCGGGTATGGGATGATCACACCGTAATTCTTACACTCTGCACGGAAGCGTTTGTCTAGGAGGACACTGTGAGAGAGAAACAACCATACAATCGATTCTATTCAATCTAAAGACTGAAATTACAAACAAGTTGACTGATTTCTGTGCTTAGCAGGAGAGAAAAAAACATTGAGATGTAGAGCTAGTTCATACTTTGGTTAAATAAAGACAAACTGTTGCAAGTGCTGTGCTAAAAGTGTGAATGCTGCCATACAAACATTGGTTTGACTAAATTACACAGAATGAGACACAAAGTACTTTTGCTTTTCTAAGTCAAGTAAACTACATTGCACAATACAGGTATCAGAAAATCTTTTACCTTGTAGCAGATGTGCAATAAAGTTTTTTTTTTGACTTCTTGAGTCTTGACACATTATAAAATCTTTTCACAACTGATATAGAGCATCCTTTGCACAAATGTACACACAGCATGAAAGATTAATGAATTTCTTTCTTTTTTTTGTCAGGAGTAAACAACTAAACATGCTTAATATTAATAATAATTAAAAAAAATAATTACCTTCCAGCCATTGCTTTGTAGTAGGCAAATATCTGGTCAGCTAACTTGTACACAAACTGATCAAAACACAGGTTGACCTGAAATGAAGAAGAAACAGTTTTAGCTTTTATTTAATAAAGGCTATTTGCAAATGATAGACATTTGAATAAATCTGTGAAACTCTACCTCTGCCTCTATCTCATCGTAGAGGAACTGCTTCTTGAATTTTGTGAGGGCATAATAACCACTGTCATTGTAAAGATCTAATGGATATAACACGTACCTGATGGGAAAAAAAAACATGTAAAAATGCAGACAGACACAATTAGCAAATGTTCATATACACTGTTGCAAAACTTTAGGGTCAGTGAGTTTGTGCTTTATATAGAAGTCTCTAATGCTCTTGTAAATTGGACAATACTGGGTAATAAACAGTAATATTAATACAAATGTCATTTAAGATCCTTTGAAAATGTTATTTTTACTGTGATATTTTTATGACTTTGATGAATATGACGTTCTTAAATTCAAATTAAGTGAAAGAATCCCCTAACATTTATGTTTTTGAAAAGCGCGTTAAGACATACCTTTTTATGCGTACGCATATAATAGTATGTGAAGTATGTGTATTTTATGTATGTACTTATATTGAGTGTGTATATACTGTATGTATAAATGTGTGTACATGTATGCATTTATCTGAGACATATATTTAATTAAATTAAATTTTCTTTTTGGCTTAGTCCATTTACTAATCAGATGTTGCCACAGCGGAATGAACCGCTAACTTATCCAGCATATGTTTTACGCAGTGGTTGCCCTTCCAGCAGCAACCCAACACTGGGAAACACCCATACACTCTTACATTCACACTCATACACTACGGCCAATTTAGTTCCATATAAAGCTTATTTCAGAAATCCATATATGCAAAGAAAACAAATCTAATTAGTTTACAAAATAAGTTATGTGTAATTAAATAAAAAGATACAGGGAAAACGTATTGAAGTGTAGAAAGGCAGTGAAAGCCCAGACAGCAGTTGAAATCTCTCAGTAGTAATTCTGCAAACCTCTGCCCTTCGTCAATGTAAATTAATATTAGCTGCTTCAGTCCAACACCTACATTATCAGGATGATGAAGATGAAAACAGGGTGGCCATTTCACCAAGACAAGGATGCAAAACACAGCCAAGGAAACTCTCAAATGCTTTCAGAGAAAGAATATCAAGCTGTAGAATGGCCCAGGCAATAACCTGACTTGAATCCAATAGAAAATATAAATTAAACATCAGATTTGATAGACGAGACAGACAGAAACATCAAGATTTTTACACAGTAGAAGTTTGTGAAAACCTTACACCTGAGCAATTCACATGACTTCATTCTCAATATGAGAGGCATCTTTAAGTTGCCATGACCCAAAAAGAACTATATATAAAGTATTAAATACATTTCAGTAGTTTAGTACTTTCTCCTTGTGTCATTTCATTGTTATTACACATAACTTATTGAACATTACACATATTTTTGTTTGATTTTTATTTATTTATTTATTTATTTTATTCCCAGTCAAAAACATGATATGTTTAATACTCTTTTTCCCCACTTTAAGAACGACATTTATTTATTTTTTAAAAAGTAACATAAATATTTTACTGATCTTTTTATTGTAATGCAACCTTGATAAATGAAAGTATTTTTTTTTTCAAAGGCCGCGTTCACTCTTGGTATTAAGAAGCTTTTCATCAATTCATTTACAAGTGGACAACATAAAAAACACAGGTGTAAATAGAGTCTAAATTATCTTGCAGTTTCGATCACTTCCTCTAATGCTTCTATAATGATACCACTTGTGAAGGCGTAGGAAAAAAACAGACTGACCACAGAGTTTTGAACAGAAGTGTAACATAAGCAAGATGAACAGTGTATATGGCACATACTCCATCATGGAGGGCTCTTTGGTCTCCAGAATGTGATCGGTAAGGATCCAGGGCATGGACATCTCGATGGGGAACTGGATGCGGCGGCCCATGGTAAGCTCCAGGAAAAACTCTCGGAACCAGAGCTGGGACAGATCACAGCACTGCTGCAGGGCTTCTGACAGGCAAACCAAAGAGAAAGCGAGAACGTCATGAAGGAACACAACATCTACTCTCTACCAATGCCAATGCGAATGCAAAGATAGATGACTTTTCTAACCACTAAAGTTCAGGAGGTGGGTGAAGAAGAAGGACTGCTTGTGGAAGTCCTCTATTGCCTGAACGATGGGACCATCCAGACTGCTCCGGAGAGTCTTCTTAGAGCCACTTTTATCAGCGATGAGAGACTCCAGCATGGTGCGCACCATGTAAAGCTATAAGACGAGGAGGAATAAACCAGAAACAACTGCTGCTTTAGACCAGGATCGTCAGAAATAATAAGACCAGGTCAAAAAGTGACAGCAGCCTAAGGCATGAAAAAAATACACAATAGCCTTGGCTGAATAACTTTGTAGCTTTAATAAGGTTTTAATCTTGATTTCCTTTATACAATTAAGATTAAGCAGTGTTATGTTACATTTGATTGTTGGTGTTTTTCTATTCTTAATATTTATATGAGACATTCTTGAATATCTACAAGCATTTTTTATTTGTTTGTATATATTTGTCTTTGTTCAATTGTTTTTATAGGTGTGCAAATGCTTCTAACATGATTTTATTTTAATGCTGACACTTATTTTATTTAAATTACGTTTATATTAGTTATTCTAATGGCTTTTGTTGTGGTATAAAAACAGCAATGGAGAATTATAATTATCATATGTAAACCAATGTCATAAAACTTTAAAACAGAGGGCTGCATATAGGACAAAGGAAAAAAAAAAGTAATTATATTAGAAGATATTACAATTAGTTTATATAAAAAAGCTACAGCTTTTAAAGCCTATTAAATGAAAAAAATACAATTAAAAAATAATTACGCATTAAACCTACACATTTAAACATTTGGAACAATTATTCACAATTCTTTTAATAATAGATCTACAAATAATCCTAAAATGTCATATATATGATAAACATAAATTGACTAACCTGTGTGCTCGAGGGCCCAACAGCACGACGAGGAACTTTAATATCAAATCCTCCTTTGGGATCCTTCTCTCCCCTCAGACAAGGGTCATTAGGGGGTTCTCTTGCACCTTCCCAATCACAGATGGTTTTACGAATAGCCTGAAGGACACTACAAGAAAGCAAGCAGATAAGTAATGCCCCAAAAACTTTATCTTCTTCTCTGTGGTGAACATCTCACCTAATGAGGACGTTCTTCTTCTTGCGTACGGCCTGTCTGAGTGGCTCTCTCAGGGTCACCTGTGCAAAGTCCTGCAGGGCAGAGTAGATGGTGTGCCTGATGGCCTGGTTGAAGACGCTCTCCATCCGGCCCATCAGAACCTGAAGACCCTTGATCATAGCAATGACCTCCACCAGGGCAAACTTCTCCTCGCTGGTGTAGTTGTAGCGTGTAGCACGCTCATACTCCTCAGCTGTGCCTGGGCAGTCCTTATTACAGAACTTATCCGTAGGGTGGACCAGTTTCCAAGAGTACTAGAGAGAGAAATCCCTCTTTAAATGCAAGGTACACGAAGGATTGAAATGGTGAAAATGCTCCACATTTTATCTTGTGACCTTAAAGGGATAGTTCACCCAGAAAATGTTATTGTCACCATTTGATTACCCTCAGGATGTCTTTGTTCGGCTGAACGTAAAGGAAGTTTGGGTTTATGCTTACTGCCATAGTTGAAAAAGTAAATACTATTGGCAGATGGTAAGATCTGTTTGGTTACTTTTATTCATCCAATTATCTTCCTTTGTGTTCGGCAGTACAAATAAACGTATACAGGATTTATACAGAACAACCTAAAGGTTAGTAAATGATGGCAGAATATTCATTTTCGGTTGACTTAACCAATCAACTACTATGTACTTACATTTAAATGTATAATTTGGTACAATGTACATATCGTCTGCATACATGTGTTACACTGTACTTATATTTTTAAAAGATACCTTACATTAGGCCTGCCATGATATCTATTTTTGTGGTACGATATATAGCACCAAAACCCATGATGATAAATTATATTATTGTTAATTAAAACCATTTTGACACTATAATAGCATCCTAATGCAAGTACACTCTTAACAATGTTTCATTTAATTTTAACAATTTAATAATTAGACATTGGAATCAGAATGTGAAAACATGTATCCAAACAAATAAATAATAAAAATAATAATTGTTAACAAAAAAGTGCCAGGTAGAAAGAACTAGAAAACAGATCTATTTTCATTCGTCAGGCACCCATCAAAATATACTAGTGTCATTTATAGTAAATAGACTATGTTTTTTTTTAACCATTCTGACACTGACACCTCCAATAGAGGCTGTGTAATCAGCTAAAATGTGGCTAGAATTGTTTTTTATGTATAGGCGATATATATATATTACATAACCAAAAATGATTGAGGTCATGTCTATGTGTTGTGCGAGAAGTCAATACATCGATTATTGTTACAGGTCTACCTTACATCATTAAATAAGTTCTGCAATTACATTTATATATGCATATACACTGTTAACCCATTCCTAACAAATTATTCCACCCATACCACCCAAACTGCCCCTGTAATTATATTATACCTCAATAGCACCATAAGTATTTTGCAATATTTACCCAAAAATGTAAATTCTTCATAATTTAGTCACACTGCACTGCGTTTCCTTCTTCCTTCTTCAAATTAAGATATTTTGAAGAATGTTGAAAAACCGTAGCCATTGACTTCCTAGTATTTTCCCCCCACAATGGATGTCAATGCCTACCAGTTTCCAACATTCTTCAAATTATCTTAATTTGTGCTCAACAGGAAAACAATCTGATGTAAATTTGATGAGGAGTACATATTTTTTTTATTTTTGGGTGAACTAAAGTATACTACTTGACATAAAGTGGTATAGTTTGGTCTCAGACGTACCACTTCCATGACATGAGTGCTCCACTTAGACAAAAGCTGCAGTCCTCTGAGCGCCAGGTCAAACAGCTCTCTGTATTCCTCATCAGACTTCTGACTGTCCAGACCAGAGCCGGTCACCACCTCACTGTTACTGTAGCGCGCGAGCTCAGAGATGAAGCGGATGTGGTCTTCTCTGATCTGCACCATCTGCTCACACAGGTTATACTGCGGACTGATGCTGCTCTGAGTGCAGGTCCACCTGAGAGAGAGAAAGAGAGAAGAGGAATGAAAATGCAATTCTGTAAGATTTCTTTATGTTTTTGTCTTTTATCCGCAGCAAGACTTTAAAAAAAATATATGCTAAAAATAAAAAATATTGTGCAATATTATTACAATTTAAAATATATAAATATGTTTTATATAGATTTCTTTTGCTGTGATAGAAAGCCAGGGCTCCAGGCTGCAAGTAGATGGTCAGGATTCTGTGATGTTTTTTCCTTCAAGTGCAGTTATATTTCATTAGGTGTCACTTACAATTTGCCAAAGTAATGCGTGATGTCATAATGCGGAAACTGCAGAAACATTTGTGCAACAACGATCAGGTTGGAAGGGTTTTCGTTCCACTAATCAGCAACTTTTACAATGGCTTTACAGTAGAAAAGCAAAGAGGAACCATTTGATTTCATTATATTATTGATATATTAAATATCTAAAATAAGCAATGTAATATAACCATTGTATTTTCTGAGACATCAGCTTTTTATTTTTCATAGCAAATGTTACAGAAATCATAAATTAGGCTACTTTTTACTGTTACAATTTTTAGTGTTGTTGTTGTTGTTGTTAATGAAAATAAATGTGGATCCCAATTCATTCCCCCGTTGCTCTCATCTCAAAGTAGTTTAAGGCCTTTCATGACCATTATTACAGGACAAAATGCCAAGATTTTTTTGCAATGGCCTGTGGAATATTGTACTTGCCCTATTTAAATTAAACTTCAGTTATTTCTTAGCCACATGTTTTTCAATAATGTATCAAAACAAGCAAACACTAGCTATATACATATACTATTATTATATTTTAAGTTTTAAAAATTATAATAAATAAACTAAATTTATTTACAAATTTAAGTATAAATACATTGATATTTTTTAAATTGTACTGTAAGGATGTAGAGACAATAATTAAACCATATTGGTAAACAGAGTTTATAATTTTTACTTTTGTTAAACGTTTTTCTTTTAGATGGATTGTTGTTTGTACCGATTAAGTAGATTTACTTGGACAAAAAAAAAAAATTAAGACCTGTTCAAAAGAATTTAAGACATGCAACACCATATTTCAGTGAATTTAACACTATTTAAGGCCTACATTTTAGTTTTTAAGATATTTTAAGACCTTTTAGAACCTAGCGGACACCCTGTATTTTCAAGATGTATTTATCAATCAAATTAAAAGTGAATGTTTAGAAAGCATTCGCTCAGACGTTAATATCAAGTAAAAACAGCAATTCATTTTGGCATACAGTTTGTGATCAGATCACTGAAAACATGTTAACACCTAATGGAAACAGGGCATTTATGATTTTCATACTTTTCTTTGATCTGCAGTATTAGATCACTCACTTGGATTTGTTCTCTTCATAGTGGGCACTTGTTTCTATGTACCGTGACAGTTCAATCTGCATGTCACCAAACAGTGGCACCACCTGAAGCTGCAAAGTGAAACATACAGCCATTACAAAAACCCAAAAATGAAAACGGTCCTCATGAGAACTGGGTAGTTTGGTTTCACCTTGAAGAACTTGTCGATTTTGCTAAGGTTTATCCTTTTCTTGGCATCCAGCTTATAGATGTTGCTGACATTTCCGTCCATCAAGTACAGGCCAAAACCCATGACCTGAAACACAGAGTCATGCCTTCACTTGTGAAGTTCTCTTTCAATCGAGTCTTAAAAGATTTAGCAGGAATGGATGCGCTCACCTTTAGCAGCATGTGTTTCTCACTGGGGGTCAAGTACATCTTGTTCTCGTAGTAATCCACACAGATGTTGACAATATCAGCCAGCAGCTCCTCATAACCTGGGATCACCTCCAGCTGCTGGTGCAGACACTGGACAAACATCACACAAAACACCACACAATGAGCTTTCAGTGAGGAGGACATGATTATATGGCAAAATCCCTTATGTTTTGATCTATAAAAAAGTGCAGCTTCAAAAGTTGTATAAACCACTTTATGTTTCCTTATTTGTATTTCTTTTGAGTTTTGAAAGCCCTGACTGATTATAAACTCTATATAACAGAATATAAATTGTGTAAATATGACCGTATTCGCAGTTAAACGTACCTGTGTAATTCTGTTGTGATTGGCTAAAAACATAGAGAGGTTTTGGGACTCTTGGATGGACTGAGGGTCAGCCATTTTCCTCAAGAACTGAGCCGCTCTGAGAAGAAGAAATCATGATTAGGATATTTTACAGATCCCAGAAATAAATGAGTCAGTAATAAAAGTATTATTACAGTATTTGGATCTGTCATCACAAATATAAGCATATCAAAGAAGATATATTATTACTCAGAGTTCAACGCTAAGGATGTTTTTCTACTGGACCAGTCAAGCCAATAATTCAGATTTATACTTGCCCTGGCCCCACCAAAAATGTTAGCCTCATATTTGAAATAATGTGTCAAAAATAATGTCTGTGAATCTAGACTTTAAGTATTTTTAAAATGTAATAAATGTGTAATGAGCAAAATTCAAAGTGTTATGCAAAAAAAAAAAAAAAAAAACAGTATGGAAAATGTGCAGGTATTTTATTGCAGTTCGAAATTATTTGACAAAAGGTGGCCGACTTGTCATAGTGAAGGCAAATTGTGCAAAACATCACTTCATGTTTTTTCGTCGTGTTGTTCCCATGTAAATGTCTGTTTCCCAGACATAAGAAAGACTTTTTCTTTTACCCTTATAATTTGATATTGCCGCCATGTTGCCGTCACTTGATTGTAGTGGATGTTACCAAGTTACAAAAAAAAATTTAAAAATCATGCCCAAAACATCAAATCAGATAAGAGGAACCGAAAAGTAATATGGTTTTTACGAGATCATAAAGAAGGTCGCACTTAAAGACTTAGAAGTGGCAGCACTGTCCCTATTGGACCAGTAATGATCCTGTCTACTGTCCCAAGCGTCTCTCACGCTGGCCCTGGGCCAATGGGCAGTCCTTATTGTGGATCCCAGTTGTTATTATTATTATCATAAAATTATATAGTATAGTAAGTAAGTAATGTATTACATTGTAATATATTAGAACCTGCTCCTTTTTTTTTTGCAAAATTAACAGAACACATTTGAACACATCTAAAAATGTAATAAACAATAAATTTTTATATCTACAGTTAAGTACATCTCAGAATAAGCATGCTGTTTAATTTTTACATAAATATACCAGTTATATATTGGTTCCTTAAAAGCAGAAGTGGCCAAAGTTTTTGCTATAAAGGGAAAAAAACCAAGCTTGATTGAGGGCTGTGGGGCTAATATATACCATATTACATTCAATTTGTCAAGGGAACTTCCTCATTTATTCAATTTATTATTAATAAATTTATTTAAAAAAAAAATAGAAAATGTTGCTTTAAATCGTATTTAATATCTAATGCAGTATATTTTTTAACATTTTATAATGAACTTATAACAGAAAAAAAACATAATTACATTTAAAACGCAATGGAGTTCAATGCTGAATACACAAGTCGAGCTGCACCTGCCTTTACCTTGATATGCTCGTTGATGTCAGATGTACTGCACATCAAGTGACAGTATTTACATTTTAAAAATCTGATTCATTTACAACATTTAATTGAAACGTTTAATTTCAGTAGCCCTTTTTTGTAGCTCAGCAATAAACTAAGAAACAAAAGATTACTGTCAAAGGTATTCGTCCCAACCACTGAAATTCTCCCTCTCTTTTCAAGCGGGCCCTACTTAGGGCATCTCTGCTTTAAAAACCTTAACACCAACCGTATCTTGACAGTTTACTTAATTTGTAATTTGATGTAGACACAAAAGTGGAACGTATTACCTTTGAGCCATATTAATGTGTATCTGTGCTTTATGGAAATTGTCATGCGCCTGTAATACCTCTTGTAAGCAGAGTGGTCATTTTTTACACTGCACTTCATGTTCTTTAGTTCGTCCAGCACAGCAAACATATTGATGAACTTTCCTAAAGTGAGCAGATAGGCCTCGGAAACAAAGTCCTTCCTGCGTTCAGCGTGACACAGTCGCTTTACCTCGCTGCAAAAACGCTCAATGGCCTTGCGCTACAAGAAAAGATATCAAGGTAACTCAATTAAATACTGTAATGTAACAATTGTCATTTCACAGCATAGCACAGCAAAAATGGGCTCTTTAACACAGATTCTCATTTGAAAAGCTAAATAATGAATATAAATGCTAAGAAATTATTTCCTAATTAAGTAAACTTAGGTTAAATCAGCTAAAATAAAACAATAAAGAGAAAAGTGGTAAACTCCATTTTTTTCTTTCTTTCTTACCTGGAAGTACATAAATTTCATAAGCTTGGTGACCTCAGGCTCCAGCACCTCCACCGTTTTCTCATAGATCTCCACTCGGTTTGGCTGCTCGTTGCACTTCACCTGAAAACCACAAGAGGGCGCCAAACGTACTTGACTCAGAAACGACTGTATGAATTATGCATATTTCCTGTAGTGACTGAAAGACAATCATATCACAGATAAAAAGAGATTCAAATACTTGGAGCTTTTATCCAAGAGAATACAAAAATGTATTTCCGATTTCTCAGAATATTCACTTTTAACCAAAAAAAAATTGTAGGATTAGTCCTTATAATTCAACTTTTTTAATAAAAGCTACTCGGAACCACAAGATATAAACTCTCAAATCTGAGTACTTTTCAGCTCTGAGTATCCCCAGAAAATAAAATTACAGCTTGTAAACTCATAACTCTGACTTTTTGTTTACAAAACTGAGATACATACACTTAAAGTTATGAGTAAACATCACAATTACATTTTCTTATTTAATTGCAGAAGGATAAGCTTCCATACAGTACATTTCAGGTAAATGCCAAATAGCGGAAACTCCATTATGTAAAACAAGAGGCAGTAACACTGATCTAAAATCTATACACATATAACTTGATACTTTAACATGTACTTATTGAGTTCCTCTTCTGTGGACTGACACTTCTAATAGTAAAATTGTATGTGGGACAGTAGGCCAAACTGAGGATGAGTTTTATTAGAGTACTGAGAATACACCTCACATCATACTGCCACTAATTGCATTAGATTTCATGATTGTGTGTGTGTGTGTGTGTGTGTGTGTGTGTGTGTGTGTGTGTGTACCTGAGGAATGGCCCTAGAGCAGCTCCTCCAGGTGTACAACATGACGGCATACTCATGTCCCTCCTCCAGCATTTCATTCTAAGTGGAAAAACATTAAAAAAGAGGAAATCATTTAATGGCTACAGGAACCACACACATGACATAATACTACTTTGTAAATGTGTGATAAATACACATTATGACCTCATGTTTGCAATGCATTACAAATGTTGAAAAATGGAATTCACCCAAATTGTTTTACGATTCAAATTTCTGAAAGAATTCCCAAAGCTTAAAAGGAAGCAATAACGAAAAGGTTGCACACCCAAATATAGGCCAAGAGAAAAAGAGAGAAAACAACCCGCCAAAACTAGATCACTCCACTATAATCATCAGAGCTCTTGCGCTCCAGACAGTTTTGTAGATTAAGTGGCAGACAGTTTTTTCCCCATGTTGTGCTGCATGCATTCAGTGAACAGCAAGTCCCTAATTATGCTCCATTAATAAATCATGTAAGCTGGATTTCTGCCAATTACAAATTAGCAAGTAAATCCTAAAAAGGTAAACAATTGCAAAACTGACAAGTCAGTGAGTGAGTTGCCTGAACATAGAGGCTACATTCCAGTCTAATATTTATGCCTTTCACTCACTAAATTCCCTCAGTCCCTTTTTCTCGGATGTACACAACCGGATAAAAGTCTTGTCACCTATCCGAGTTTTAGGAACAGCAAATAATAACTTGACTTCTAGTTGATCATTTGGTATGAAAGGCAAATGCCTCTAGATTATGGTTATTTTACCAAAATAAAATATGATCGTGCGTTAATTTTGAATTATTTAATTAGGACAGTACGGTCTGACTATGCTTAGACAAAAGTCTTGTCACTTAACAGAAATAATGTACAGTATAGAACATAAAGTGCAGTAGAAAAATAATGAATATTGTGAATGACTCCCATCAGCTTGGAGGACTGCATCTATAAATCTCTGCAATTACTCAAATAACTGATTAATAAAGTCATCTGGAATGGGAAAGAAAGCATTCTTGCAGGACTTCATCAGGAGTTCATCAAGATCCTTTAGAATCATCTTCAATGCCTCCTCCCTCATCTTACCCCAGACACGCTCAACAATGTTCATATCTGGTGACTGGGTTGGCCAATCCTGGAGTACCTTGACCTTCTTTGATTTCAGGAACTTTGATGTGGAGTATGAGAAGTATGAGAAAGAGTATGAGAAGTATGAGAAGGAGCGCTATCCAGCTGAAGAATTTGCCCTCTCCAATTGTTTGTAATGTAATGGGGCAGCACAAATGTCCTAATACGTCAGGCTGTTGATGTTGCCATTCATTCTGCAGATTTCTCGCACACCCCCATACTGAAAGTAACCCCAAACCATGAATCATGACATTAGACCAGTGGTTCCCAACCTTTTTCTTTGGGGCCCCCCCCATGAACATATACAAACATTGGAGCCCCCCCACCATATAAATACACACGCACGCACATACATATGTACTGTGTGTGTGTATATATATATATATATATATATATATATATATATATATATATATATATATATATATATATATATATATATATATATATATGTGTGTGTGTGTGAGTGTGTGTGTGTGTGTTTGTGTAATATTAATATATAGTAATATGTATAGAAAATATTAATTAATCAGTTTTAACTTGTCTTGGCCTTCAATAAAACCAAAATTTAGGTAGGCTTTGTCATACTGTCTAATCTTTTTCTTCGCCTCTGAAGAATCCCTGCATTTACGTTTGTCTGCCATTTTTGTTTTGATTTTGCCTTTACGACACGTTGACAAGCAGATTGCGCGAGTGAGCAAAATTTAAATAATTATTTAAAGTTATTTATTTTAATTATTTTCACTATTATGTTGGAATTTTAAGCATGCGTTTAGATTTTTATTTATTTTTTTGGTACTTAAAAATACATATATAATAGTAGGGCTGTTCGATTTTGGGAAAAATCATAATCACTATTATTTTGGTCATAATTGTAATCACGATTATTCAAAACCATTGCCAGTTAAAGTCAAAATTATTAGCGCTCCTGAGATTTTTTTTTTTTATAAATATTTCCCAAATTATGTTTAACAGAGCAAGGAATTTTAACAGTATTTCCTATAATATTTTTTCTTCTATTTGTTTTATTTTAGCTAGAATAAAGAAAGGTTTAAATATTTTGAAACCAATTTAAGGTCAATATTATTAGCCCCCTTAAGCAATATATATTTTTGATTGTCTGCAGAATAAACTACTGTTATAATGACTTGCCTTATTACTCTAATTAAGCCTTTGAACTGCACTTTAATCTAAATGCTTGTATTTTGAAAAATATCTAGTAAAATATTATGTGTGCTGTCATTATAGCAAAGACAAAAAGAAATCAGTAATTAGAAATGAGATATCAAAACTATTATGTTCAGAAATAAGTTAATAAAATATTCTTTCCATGAAACAGAAATTGGGCAGGAAAAGGTTTGCTAATATTCAAGAGGGCTAATAATTCTGACTTCAACTGTATACATAGTTATTTTCCACCCTGCAAAGGAAAGAGAAATAAATACAATAGAATAAAAATATAAAACAAACTGTGTTTTAAGCATCTTCACTGTAAGAAAAACACTTTAGCTACAGCAGTCCTTCAGTCAAGAGCAGCGAGGGTTTTTTCGTTATGTTTGTTTAATAATGATAAAAACAGCCGGCAGAAGGATTATAGCGCGCTGTATCTTTAATGGTTTCTCTTTCACGTCTTTTGATCCTCAACTCGTTTGTTTATTACACAAATGAGGGTTAATATAAATAATCACTAAACACCGCGTTTTGACACCTATTTGACCATTAAAGCGCTCACGTTAAGATGACTTTAGATGTGTGCGCTCCTCTGCTCGTCTCTGTGTGAATGAGAGTGAATGCTGACCGGCCGCATGCTTCTGACTGCGTGATCGTGCTGCGCACACACACATAAGCTCTTTCGCGCTTTTAAGAGCCATTTAAGAGCGTGTACAACTGGAACGTGGCAAAATATGATGCAATAATCATTTATCTCGATTAATGCTTTTTTATAATCGTTTGAAACCGAAATCTAAATCGGATATTCGATTAATTGCAAAGCCCTTTATAATAGTGGAGCATTTTTATGCCTTTTTCTACCTCAATACTTATCCTCTCCCGCGCCCCCCCTGTGAACTCTGGCGCCCCCCTTAGGGGGGCGCGGACCCCAGGTTGGGAACCACTGCATTAGACCATGCGGGTTCCAATAGGTGTTCTGCAGTATTTGTGATGATTGGGATGCAGTTCAACAGATGATTGATTGGAAAAATCTATCTTCTGCCACTTTTCCAAATGATCAACTAGAAGTCAAGATATTATTTGTTGCTCTAAGAACTGGGATTGACGACAAGACTTTTGTCAGGTAGCGTACATCATTGACTACGTTACACAAGTGTCTGCTATTTGCGGACCATCTGAATGAGTTTAAATGGAATGCCCTAAAACCCCTTGAGCACTGTTGTGATGTCACAATCGCATTGCATTCTGGGACATATAGGTGCTGATATGAAGCCAACTCGCTCCCTTGGTCAAATTTGAGGTACCGAGGATATGTCCATGTAAGCTCCTCTTGGATGGCGGCAGGGATTCCCCCGAGGGAACAAAGGAAGGGAACGAAAGTTTGCAATTGCTTTTCTAAAATTAAAATGAAAGCAGCCCTAGTCATCTCAACACTAAAAAAATAGGCTTGAAGAATAAGAGGATGATCTGATAATGGGTGGCATGATGGCTTAGGGGTTAGCACTGTCATTTCACAGCAAGAAGGTCGCTGGTTCGAGTCCTGGCTGGGCCAGTTGGCATTTCTGTATGGAGTTTGCATGTTCTCCCTGTGTTCGTGTGGGTTTCCTCCGGGTGCTCCGATTTCCGCCACAGTCCAAAGACATGTGCTATAGATGAATTGGATTAACTAAATTTTCCATGGTGTATGAGTGAGTGTGTGTGAATGCGAGAGTGTATGGAAGTTTCCCAGTACTGTGTTGCAGCTGGAAAAGTATCCGCTGCGTAAATAAGAAACTAAGCCAAAGGAAAATGAATGAATGATCTAAAATCTGACAAAAGAACTGTTTAAATATAATCTAAAATACAGAATATAATACTACTTTGATAAAATGTATTATTTTATGTAATAAAATAATCTAAATATATGTGAAAAAATGTGTTTTTAAAGAATCATTGATTGTTTATTATTATTGAGAATTATTTTTTAGGAATCATTTTGAACGGATACCTTTCTTTAGAACAATTAATACATTTTTCCCAACCAGCATTTAAAAGGGAAGAATAGCATCATAATCATGTAAAATTGGTCACTGGAATAAAATTAGTGTTTTTTTCTTCTTCTCTGAACTTTGCCCTGCACCACCTACAGTAGCACCCTCTTGTGGCGCTTTGGTGGTCACTGGAACATCTAGACCAGAGTTTATTAACTGGTTGGTCACAACCGGTCACAACCCAAAAATGGGTCATATGTTATGAGGGTCACAGAGAGCATTTTTGTGCTTCAAATCTGATTTTTGAAAGTTGTGTATGAAAGCGATCGACACTTCTGTCAGACCTGGTTAAAGAAAGTGTACCGAATAAAAAAAAACAAAAAAAAACTGTTGCTCTAAATTAGTATCTTTGGTCAGATAAGATGATGTTGTCCAGTTACACACACACACACACACACACGTGTCACTTTTCGGATGTTTTCATGACTTGTTTTAGAATAAAAGTCTCTCTCCTAATAAATTGACCTTTCCAGATCTGTCAGTTTGTAGTGTACACTCTTCAATCACATGAGCATATGCAGCAATGCATGCTGGATATTACTTCAATAAGAACAAAGCACATACACAGACACACAAATTACAACCATACAACCTCCCAGTATTAGAAATATTCATTCAATTTATTTCCGGTCTTTCAATTTATTACGTCAGTTAATATGAAACTGTACTTGTGTGAGGCAACAATTTTTCAAGCACATTTGCTTGTTTTTTTATTGATATAACATCCCACATTATACTACATACTTTAAATACAAGTGCACATTTGCACTTTAAGCTGAATAGTAGCATCTTGCAAAATAACTAGTAAAATATGATGTACTGTCTTGATTGACGAAGACATTTAATAGTTCAAGAAAGGGCTGGGCGGTATAGCAAAAATGCAATCTCGATAATTGTTTTCTACGTTGAACATGACATTATATTTTGATATCAGTCGTTAATGCTTTCAGATTTAAAATAGTACCCCAACAATTACTGAAGCCACAAAAATTAGACTCCATTAAACTTGATACTAGTTGTAGGTCCAGCATGCTGTCCCGAGAGAGAACCCTGAGCTCAGAGATCTTTGAGCCCATGGCTCCCACCTGGTCGTATAGCATAGAAGGGGGCACAAGATCAAGTTTGTCTCAAAGAGCACCCCCTGGAAAACGAGAAAAGGGGGAGATGGGGGGGATTCTTAAAAATTGAAGATAATGAAAGACAGAAAAACTGGGCTATTTACTGAAGGCTTGGATTTATCTGATTGGTTATCGATGATTGTTGATGCAGGACCAGACACAATCAACCATAGCATTGTTCCTCTCGAAATTAACTTTTAAAACTTTTCTTTTTAAAATTTAGTTCATACTGTAGTTTGTAAATGCTGAAAAAAATTCTCTCGGTTCTTTTCCCAGCATCATTTGAGAAATATTTGAAAAAGAATTCAATTGTGTCATAGCTTAAATGACCACAGAGAAATGTAGGTCCCATGGAAAAGCACTGCTTTAGACTATGGCCAACATTAGCAAACCAATCAAGCTACAAATCATCAAAATATTTTGCATAGGTAATGAACTACAAGCTAGATATATTTAGGTATAATCTAGATATATTTTACACTATTTAACTGTACAAATGTAATTAGAGATTGCAAATATAGGACAATATGCGGTAACACTTTATTTTGACAGTCCATTTGAGTATCAGTAGACTGTCTGCTTAATATTTGTTGATACTGCTAATTAACAGACATTTAACTGACTATAAGAAACTTTGCAAGTACATGTCAACTTACACTAACCCTAACCTTAACCCCAACCTAACAGTCTACTTATAATCTAATGAGAATTAGTTTACATGTAGATGCAATGTAAATTAAATTCAACAAACAGACCATCAAAATAAACTGTGACCCAATATGCAAGTCAATTTAAACGAGACTATGCCCTATACTTCACAAACACTGAATTTACTTGTAAAGTATTGATGCAGCCACTAATGTATTCGACACAAAGAGCTCATCTATGCAGTCATTGGAGCTTTAGCAGAAGTTAGCTGAAGCAGACAGGATCTCCAGTCCTCGATGACTTCTCTATTTCACTGAATAGCACAAACTTCTATTTGTCAGTCCGAGCACATGCACGAGCACTGAGCTGTGAGGAAGAGCTGGAATAGATGCTTCAGTTCCATTTCTGTCAAGCACAAACCCCAAACCCCCACAGAAACAAAACAGCGCTGAAACAACAAGCATAACAAGGGTGTCTTTGTGTGAAGGTGTCTGTCCTGAACTTACCATCTCACACAAAGAAAAATTAAACTGAATGTGTTTAGATTTGGTATTAATGTCTTACCCAGCGTTCATGTGCAGACCCTTAAATAGACTTTCACTGTTGTATATCTTTAGTACATTTTGAGATGCTCTGAGAAGCATGTTCAAGCATAGTATTACAAGTTTAGGATAGCTTTTAACTATTTTTTAGTACAAAAAAGCAGATACTGCAATAATACTATTCGCTTAGTAAGTGTGACGTCACGTGAAGCGGCTTCCGGGTCCAAGCGCTCTATTCAACTGAATGGGGAGACTGATGAAATGGTAATAATAAACATTTACAAAGCGATTTAAGGCTTTCGAAAATCACGATCGCAGTATATATGTCCATGCCTAATATCCGATGACCAGAAAGTGAAAAACTTTTTTAATAAATTGTTAAATTTTTGGTATTTGTTATGCAGCAAGCCTAGAGATTGTTGTGTACTCTATGATTTTATATAAAATTAACTTTAATCTGTGATAGGAATAAAACTTGATCATAAATGAATGAATGGATGAATAATCCATCTTCAGTATCACATATAATCAAGCTGATCTGAAAAAACAAATCATTTTATTATCAGTGTCGTAAATGGTTATGCTTCTTGTGGAAACTAGGATTAATTGATTCATAAAAATTCAATTTTTATTCATCATTCTTGTTGAAAAATAAAACAAACCTTTGAAATGTCTCACTCCATCTGAGTAGTAAATTGTTTTATCACAGTATAAAAATATGGCATTGTCATGGTCAATTCCTTTAAGCTTTGGGAAGGGAACAACTTTTCTGTGTCACAACGATATTTAAATCATGCCTGAAGTAAAAAAAACGTCAGATAAACTGAATGACATGAATGTTTCTGCTTCTCACTGTCCCTCTGATAAAGATTTCAGTAAGAACCATAAAGGGCAGCTTTGTTATAATGCAACATCCTTTCGTTATTTCTGCCCTGGTCACATGACCAGCCATCCAAATGTGCTGTTTCACAAAGTCCCCCTTCTACTTACCATGCTGGAGTGCACAGTGGCCTGTTCAATGTAGCGGGCAATGCCGGTGACAAACGCATTTCTGTCCTCGAAGTTGGTGTCAAAGTTTGCCTGGCAACAGACAGAAGTTCAGTAAGATTTTTCTCAAAACGTGACATCTTGGAAATACTTAAAAGTTTTAGACAATTCTGACATCATTGAGTAACCCTTTACTTGTAGCCACTGGTTTCCATAGTGTTTGTTTTTCTTACCACGGATGTCAAAAGCTAAACATTTCCAAAATTCATCAAAATATCTTCATCAGAAAAGAATAATCAACTCATAATGATTTGGAACCACTTGAGGGAACCACTTGAGTACATTTTCATCACAAACTATCAATTAAATGAGAATGTTTACACACCAATATGCTAAAAACTCACAAAAAAAAAAAACTTTATAAATGAATCTGTTTATCTCCCGGTAGCAAGGTGTTTAAACTGACATCTCAGACCCTGTTTACACGAATACAATTTTCATTTTAAAACGTGTAAGTTTTGCTACAGTTACACCTTCCGCCCACACTACTCGTGCCCTGAAAACAGAGAGTTTTGGAAAGGCTGAATAGGATGGTTTCTTTTTAAAAATCGCTGCTGCTCCATGTTAGCGTGGTGGGGGAAAATGGAGACATCAAAAAACGGAGCCATAGCATCTAATTGTTTTTTTTTCCCAGTATTAAGTACACAAAGTTCAATCTTGTAACCTTGCCTTGTAAGTTCAGACTTCGCAAGTTTGATATAGAAACTCCCGAGGACATGTCCGTGTTACAAACCCCTGATGTTAGTCTAGGGCAGGGGTCACCAATCCTGGTCCTGGAGGGCCGGTGTCCCTGCAGGGTTTAGCTCCAACTTGACTTAACACACCAGCCTGGATGTTTCAAGTACACCTAGTAAGACATTGATTATCTTGTTCAGGTGTGTTTAATTAGGGTTGGAGCTAAAATCTGCAGGACACCGGCCCTCCAGGAACAAGTTTGGTGACCAGTGGTCTAAGAGATGGTGGGGTTTGACATTTGTGTAATTAAAATATTTTTATATAAACAGTGAATAAGTGCAAAAGACAACCAAAGTAATACCAAAAATATGTGCTTTTATTTACAATTCCCAAAAGTGAACAAAAACAACGAATTAATCCAAATTTAAGATTAGGTAAGTAAGGCAAAAATATACTATTTACAATATATACAACACTGAGACAAATAAAGACAGGAAAAAACAAGAGAACTGGCAGAAGGGACGCGGGCGGCGCTAAAGAAATGAAAAGAACAAAACCCAAACCGAATAATGGACGGATAACGTGCACACAGAAACAAGCAACAACAAAATACAGTTAGACAGGGTTTTTTCTAAACGCAACGCAATAACACAAACAAGCGGAAAAAAGCAGAGAAACAGAAGTTAAAAGAGAGGCTAGCGAGTGATCTGACGCACGCTTTTTTTACGGGTGGTCTTTGCTTATTGGATGTGACGTAAGAGTAACCAAGAAGGAAATGACTGACAGCTGAAGAGACCAATGAAGCGAACCTGAGAATAAATAAAGCTGATACGGGAGAACAGAGAGAGAGAGAGAGAGAGAGAGAGAGAGAGAGAGAGAGAGAGAGAGAGAGAGAGAGAGAAAACAGAGCAACAGAGCACAAATACATAACAGTCGGGTAAATCTTCTTGTTGTCTTAACAATAAAATGAAAACATAATATAAAGAACTCCCTATTTTCATTTTGATGTTAACAACTTAACAGACACCAGAAATGTTAAGACATAGCATAGCTACATATTTATATTACCGTCATCTTCACTGTATACATATTTAGGCTATAACAAAATGGAGCCTATAACATAAATGCCTCCTTTCATTTTCATTGAAAAATATGAAACACCCTGTCTTTTTTGGCAGAATATCAGTTTTAATAATCAATAATGGCAATCAATAATGCAATAAGTTTATACAATATAGGAAATGAAAATGTGTATGTGTTCGTGGTTACATAAATGAATATATTAACTTATCTTTGCTTTCAGCCAAAACACGTTACCTGAGAGCAAGTAATAGATTCAAACTACCTAAGAGTCGTTAGATAGAGACAAGTTTAATTAAATATCACATTTAACAGCAATAGTTAGATGCGATCCAGCGGATAAGATCTTTGATGAACTGTCCGACGTGCGCTGCTCTCACCTGGGGACGTGTGCTCAAAGCACCTGCTGACTTCCTGGGGCTCAGACATCTGCATATGCTTCTGCGCATGAAAGAGTGTACGTGTGCTCATGTGATCTGCGTTTTCAGCGGTGTAGTGTGGGTGAAGACCTTTTCAGAAACGCCAGTGTGGACACGGTTTTAAAACTAAAACGTATTCGTGTAAATGGGGTTGTTAAAGGCTACAGATTGTTAAAAGCCAAAGAAGAGTCTCGCTACATGTCCTTAGACTTGTAGCTAACTCTTACTTCAAAATAATCTGCATTAAAGACACTTTTCTGTCATGTATACGCAATTTAATAAACTGACAAAAAGTGTCATATGTAACCCCCGCCAGCTCGTATTGGACAACAATGATAGCAAAAAATATATAGTTTTAGAAAATCACCCACCGTTTTGCAAGGTAAGACCCTTATTACTTGGCTGTGGTGCTTTAGAGCCTTTTGAAGCCACATTCAAACCATTGAAGATCATTACTCGTAGATAATTGTAGGGGAACATTCCTAAAATGTTTTCCTCAAAAAACCTACTATTTTTATGCCTGATGAAAAAAGTAACATCTTGGATGACAATGGGGTGAGTAATCCTTTGAGATATTTATGACCTTATTCTGATTAAGGAAAACCAGTAATTGTGTTTAAATGACCATCCGCAATGTCAGCTTATGAGGCATAAGCTGGGTTGAGAATGTGCATGTGATATCAGTGCATTAGGACGTGTACCTGGTACATGATGGAGGATGGAGGGGGCTCGATGCATGGCTGCTGGTCTGGGAGAGGAAGCTCCTCCAGCAGGTCCACATTGGACAGCGCATCCTCCAGGGTCACGTGGGTTGTCATGGCGACACAGGTTCACTCACAAAACAGCCCAATCTAAAACACAAAACAGAAATGGTCAGGTTCAATACCATGAGACAAGAACGCTCCATTTGAAGTGAAACACAGTCTATAAATCACTGGCATTTGACAAGGGAAATGTCATGACCTTAAGGAATTCGCTCTACTTAAAAATGTTCAGTCTGTTTCACTGGTGGTATTTAATTAGTCTCAAAACAAAAGGACTGAAGTGGCTGCCAGCAAATTCCAAGAAATAAAAGGCAGAATATTTTGGCTATAACCCATAATGCTGTAAAAAAGTATGGTTTTACAGAATATCGTAAAATATTTGTATAATTTATTGGATAATATAATATTATAACATACATTATGTTAAAACTTGTGTGACACAGTGGCTCAGTGGTTAGCACTGTCACCTCACAGCAAGAAGGTTGCTGGTTCGAATCCCAGCTGGAGTTTCCAGGTTCTCCCCGTGTTTGCATGGGTTTCCTCCGGGTGCTCCGGTTTTGCCCACAGTCGAAGACCTGCACTATATGTAAATTGAATAAACTAAATTGGCTGTAGTGTATGTATGTGTGCATGGATGTTTCCCAGTGCTGGGTTGTAGCTGGAAGTGCATCTGCTGTGTAAAACATATGCTGGCCTGGATAAGTTGGCAGTTCATTATGCTGTGGGGACCCCTGAATAATAAAGGGACTAAGTCGAAGGAAAATGAATGAATGAATGTTAAATCTTGGCTGGTTGTGGCTATTCATTCTAACAATAATTAACTGATTTTACCATTAACCGTGCTTTTATTTAATTAAGGCTTCTCAACATCGCGTTTCTTTTCATGACGCAACACGCTTTCCAGGCACTCTTAGTTGAAAGAATTTACACCGCGAGTCACATGACAAGAACAGACCAATCAGCTTCATACTTTCTATGGAATATACACATTTCTAGTCCAAAGAAAATTAAAATAAAATAAATGAAAATACCAAACAAGTTCATAATATAGTTGATTAAAAGTGACTTTCAGACAGAGGTTCAGCAGCCTTTGACTACATTTGTTCTCTTTAAAATTTAACTTAGCTAGTATGTAGCTCAGATTAACATAAGCAAACACCTTATTTATTGTTATTTTTTATTTATTTACTTGTTTCTTTATTCATTCTACTGTCATTTATCAGTGTAAAATTATTACTTAAGTTTAAATCGGGAAGCCACTTGCTTTCCTTTCCCAAACACAACTAATCAAAATGCAACCCCATATTAACCCTTTCTAAATCCTAAATTCCTCGAGAAAAGAAAAGAGAAATTCTTCTCAGCCTGGCTCTGTAAAGTGTATGATGGCCAACCCTATATCATGACACTCTTTCAGGCAATAGATGCGTAAAATAGATGATGTGAAAGTAAATCATTCAAATTGTGGCTTTAAAAGAATTGTGCTTTATTTTGTTAAAGGTTTCCAGTATCTACTACCACTGATGACACATTTCTAAACTGGTACTGTGCTGTCAAGACAAAAGAACAAAAAAGTTCTCAGGAAGTGTGGTTTGGTGAGACATATGGCTTATATTAGACACAGGACAACTCATGTTTCATATATGCGCAACACATCTCAAGATTTTTACTACACCATTTCTCAAATACATTTTCCTTGGTAAAAAAATGAATTGTTTTGTTTTCATACCCATATTTGAGGTAGCACTTTTGATAATTAATGAATGTCAATGGCTTTTTTCTGCAGATCTTCACACACTTTAAAGCTCTCTACAACTTCTGGTAAATTGAATACTCCTCAAAAATGACTCAATACTGAACTTTGGATATTCATGAGCTGATGTTACACACTTTAAAATCAAAACCCCATAATTAACATCTACTGTATTCAGGCCTCATCAGGCAATCGTCCAAACAGTAGGCTGATTTTTAATCCTTATCTTCATCAAAGCTTGACAGAGTGCCAGAGAAACACGATGCCCGCTTGACCTTTAAACATGGCCATACAGGAAGAGAGATCACCTGTGGTCACTGTGGGATAAAATATGGAGCCTGCTACAGCATGAGGAGATCAATACAGACGTTCCCTTTTATGAGTGACAGACACAAACAGGAACCAAAAAGTGTGAACAACCTAAGAGAAAAAATATTACGATGACACATCATAGCAACAATGCATACAGTCAATGTTCCAACAGATGAAGTGAAAAAATGAGCTACCAATTGATCGTCAAATTGTCATGTCCACATTAATCTACGATTACAATCAAAAACCATAAATCTCAACAAGTCTGTGTCAGGTGGTCAGTGGTCTCTGATCGCTCTCCAGTGAAAACCACAGTCAAGCTCATTGTTGAAAGGACAACATCAGGTAAATCTAGCAAGTCCAGGTATGAATGCACAGTCAAACAGTTGAAGTCATTTTACTGAGCTCATTGTGTATATAATGTCACCTGCCATTTTTCTTATTCTTGTACACATCTCTAACAAAACATTTTTACACGCTCTACAGCACTTTAACTATACTGATTCACCAAATGCTTCTATATAAGGGTTGGGTTTCCTGTCAGCATTTATGTATCTAACAATACCATGCAACTATGTACCAGAAGGACTCCAAAGTTCTATTTTGTTAAGCTTACTGTAATGGTTACTACATTTCTGGCTAAAAGACCAATTAAATAAAGCCAAAACACTCACTGTCATGAGAAATTAGGTCCGTGACTGAGTATGTAGTGCATAAGTGATTTACTAGTCTGATAGCCTAGCTTATAGCCTAGCTTGTTTATGTTTTATGTCTTTATGTCCAGTTGTTGTTGTCACTATGTGAGTTTTTTTGGGTGGAACTGTTATAAAAAGAGGACCCTTGACTGCAAACCAAATCTACCTTCTAGTACAAACAAAGTAACCTAACCTAACCTAATATGCAACACATTTACAATATGTATTTTCAACAATCTTTTCAACACATTTTATTTTATTATTATGCCCTATATATTAAGTAAGAACTATTATTATTACATTCAAATGAAGATTTTTTTATACTTTACTTTTTAAAATAACTTAATGTTGCCTACTAGGACTGTCAAAAGTACCAACTTTGGTTCCAACTACGGCTGAAGTTCCTGCTAACATTTGAGCAGGTTCTTAAACACTGCTAATTTGGCCATTTATATGGCCATGTGCTAAACTGATATGACACAATTGCCCCTTTCACATATTCAGACATTTTCCAGAATAAAATGCTTTAATAGTCCGGTAATTTTACAGCAATTTCCCCTATTACTCTGTGAAAGGTAATGACGATGGCTTCATCCTCTTTAGTGAGTGCTTACACAGATAAAGGAGCATTTGAAAGTCACATCTATCAGCTGATCCTTCAGCAGATTACTTTTAGGCTTATGGAAGGAATCCTCTAAAATACTCCCCAGCCTCTGGTCCATGGATCAATTGGTACCTGGTCGCACAAGAAATAATTAATTTTTTCTGTTTGTTTCCGAGTCTAAGGGTGCTTTCACACCTACATTTCTGTTTCGGAAGCTGTCTCGTTTGCCCAGTTAGCGCGGTTCGTTTGTGAACAGAGCAATCGCGCTCTGTTCCGCGCCAAAGTAATCGCTCCGAGACCGCCTGAGTGAGGTGGTGCAGTGAAAAAGCGATCCGATCCGAGCGCGGTTATATAACAGTGTTTTATGGATATGTAATAGGCATACGGCTATATGAAGAGAGAATTATGAGTAGGGCGGGAAGTTTCGCGAGTCTCCGGATGCCCGCAAACGAGTGATGATCTCCTGGTAATCTCGCGTCTCCCTCCCGGTCCTCAAATAGGCATCGTTGCGCACTATTTTCACCCCTCCCCACCGCATCTCTCCTCAGACACGTCGCGCGCACACCTTGTCAATCACCACCAAACCATCACCTTTCCTGACAGCTGAGCGGGACGCTGCAAAATAAACCCTGACACTCTGACCAATGTGAGGAGAGTTAACTCACACGTGACTTGTTTTAGCTCTTTTGGTTCGATTAGAAACTTTGCAGTGTGAAAGCGAACCGCTCCAAGAGCAAAGAGCAACAATGTAACATTTGTAATCTCTGTTTCAGAACAACTCAATCGATTCACTGGTGTGAAAGCCCCCTAAATGATGTTTTATTTAAAAAAATATTTTACTTTAAAAAATGACAATATTCTCTAGGTTACATCTAGGTCACTTGAGCGCAAGAAACAGACGTCTTTGAAAAGTTTCTTTGCGGAAGTGAAAAGGCTCGGTGAAGAACCCATGAACTGCGAAGGAATGGATCCACAACCCATTTGTTAGCAAATCAGGTGAATCCAGCATGTCTGTGCAAAAAAAACTTCAACTGCTGGAGAACGCAAATGACGGCGGCCTTAGAGCCGTTCCCATTTTGTGTCTTTTCTGCGTGCAAGTAAGTTATTTCCAGTAGAGGTGCGTGGCTTGCACGCGCATATTAGAAGTGACTCACATAAGCCACGTGATTTCAGGCACAACTAGTTGCCATAAGTGCACCATGAGTCACGCGACAAGAACTGACCCATAGATGGAACTGACTAATCAGCTTCATACTTTGTATGGAATATACACATTTTGGTAGAGTAATTACTTAATATCAAATAAAATAATTATCAGACAAACAGAGAACAGCCCAAATACTGTAGTGCTTTGTAATTTTCTTCATAAATAACGCCTGTATCAGAGTTGCAGCATTGTTTTGTCAGGTTGTTATCCTCTTGAGAAACCGGTTGATGGCTTAATTACATGTTTTCATTTTATGAGAGCAACAGATAGACATCTGTCAGACAAGGAACAAGCGTTTGCCTTTAAATTGTTGAGAAGAAGTGAGCTTCTACTTATTCATATTCACAAAGAACCTACCCTTGAAGGAAATGCGCTACGATAAACTTGTGGAAACGACAGCGTGATAATATGATCCTACACTTCCGATTTCCTTCCCGACAATATTAGCAGATGGATATTGCAGAACCTAATAAGCTCTCGCTGACAGTACGCTTATTACGCTGCTAGTGATTGTGCCAC